GCCAATATCAAGAAGCTGTTATACAAATCTATGGTGATGCCACATTTGGAATACCAGAATAGGTTCAACCAAAAGGACCAAGAGATTGGAGTAACTCCCCTATGAGGAAAGGTTACAACTTCTGGAACTTTTTACTTTAGAAAAAAAGCAAGTAAGCGGGGAACTGACAGAAATGTTTAAAGTTACCATTGTGTTGAGAAAGTGGATGAGAGAAAATTCTCTGCCTCTCTCATAATATGAGATCACAGGACCATTCAATGATTCAGGACAGACAAAATAAACTATTTATTTACACAATGCATAGTTAAAACTCTTGAATTAAGTCCCACAACATGTAGTGAAGGCAACAAACTTGGATAGCTTTGAAAAAGGATTACACACATTTGCGCTGCTTGCCTTTGGACCACATCAGTGAGGTCAAGAGGGGGTCTTGGTATCTGGGCAGTCCAGGACCTCCATACACACTACACTGCCCAGGCCTGTACCCCGGGGAGGTCACTTTGGTGCTGCTTATGCCTAACTTCACCCCCCGAGGCACACTCCATTGTCTCTTGACCCAGAGGCCAATGAAATTATCAATTAAATCACTAGGCATGATAGCTCCAAATTAGAGATGGTGTGCCTCAGTACACCAGTAGCTGGTAATCACACTTGGGAAGAGTACTGGTTGCCTAATATGGGAAGAAGTTGCTGGACTAGATCTCTCTTGGTGTGATCCAGCCTGGCTCTTATATTCTCACTGGCAAATTTTCTAGTAGTTATTTCAAGTTATAGCCACTAGATGTCATAATACCACAGGCAATATCAGATACTGTACTGTACTTGTTTAGTTGTTTAGTCGTGTCCAACTCTTCGTGACCCCATGGACCAGAGCACAGCAGGCACTCCTGTCTTCCACTGCCTCCCGCAGTTTGGTCAAACTCATGCTGGTAGCTTCGACAACACTGTCCAACCATCTCGTCCTGTCGTCCCCTTCTCCTTGTGCCCTCCATCTTTCCCAACATCAGGGTCTTTTCTTTTTTCTTTTTTAATAAATATTTTTATTAAATTTTCTTATACAAAGTCAGAAATGTATTACAGAAAAAGAAAAAAGCAAGAAAGAAAGAGAAAATATAAAAAAGAAACCAACTTTCCAGATCATTTTTACCAATCCAACCGGACTTCCTCACATCTTCCAGACCCTGCGTTCTTTACAATAAAAACATCAGCAATTTGTTACTTTGTTTCATACCTTACTGTATCTTTCAAATATTATGTTTCTAAATTCAGAATACTGTTTCTCAATTACTTATACCTTAAAATAAACATAATAAAATTATTTCAAGTTTCCACCTTGTCTTTCTTATAGCTCAATTTCCAATTCATCAAATCTAGTTGCTGAAGCTAAAGTTTCCAAATCATGCACATTCTTAACATTCATACAACTTACAATGTTTTTGCAAATAGTCTTTAAATTTTTTCCAGTCCTCTTCCATTGTTTCTTCTCCCAAGTCTCGGATTCTGCCAGTCATTTCAGCCAGTTCCATATAGTCCATCAATTGCGTCTGCCACTCTTCCAGTGTGGGTAAATCTTGTGTCTTCCAGTACTTTGCGATAAGAATTCTTGCTGCTGTAGTTGCATACATAAAAAAGGTTCTATCCTTCTTTAACACTTTCTGGTCTACAATGCCCAGGAGGAAGGCCTCTGGTTTCTTGGGAAAGGTATACCTAAATACCTTTTTTAACTCATTGTAAATCACTTCCCAGAAGGCCTTCACTTTTGGGCAGGTCCACCAGAGGTGAAAGAATGTCCCTTCAGCCTCCTTACATTTCCAGCATTTGTTGTCAGACAGGTGATATATCTTAGCAAGCTTGACTGGGGTCATGTACCACCTATATATCATTTTCATAATGTTTTCCTTCAAGGCATTACATGCCGTGAATTTCATTCCGGTGGTCCATAACCTTTCCCAGTCCTCAAACATAATGTTATGCCCAATATCCTGTGCCCATTTTATCATGGCTGATTTAACTGTCTCATCTTGTGTGTTCCATTTAAGCAGCAAGTTATACATTCTCGAAAGTATCTTAGTTTTTGGTTCTAACAGTTCTGTTTCTAGTTTCGATTTATCCACCTGGAACCCAACTTTCTTATCAATTTTAAAAACCTCTTGAATTTGAGCGTAATGTAACCAATCTCGCACCTTATTCTTTAGTTTCTCCAAGCTCTGCAACCTCCAATTGTCTCCAATTTTTTCAATTATTTCCCAATATTTTGGCCAGTTGGCCTCCATATTGGGTCTTTTTCGAGCCTTGGCCTCCACTGGTGATAGCCACCTCGGGGTCTTACCCAACATCAGGGTCTTTTCCAGGGAGTCTTCTCTTCTCATGAGGTGGCCAAAGTATCGGAGTCTCAGCTTCAGGATTTGTCCTTCCAGTGAGCACTCAGGGCTGATTTCCTTAAGAATGGATCGGTCAGATCTTCTTGCAGTCCATGGAACTCTCAAGAGTCTCCTCCAGCACCATAATTTGAAAGCATCAATTCTTCGGCGATCAGCCTTCTTTATGGTCCAGCTCTCACTTCCATACATCACTACTGGGAAAACCATAGCTTTAACTCTATGGACCTTTGTTGGCAAGGTGATGTCTCTGTTTTTTAAGATGCTGTCTAGGTTTGTCACTGCTTTTCTCCTAAGAAGCAGGCGTCTTTTAATTTCGTGGCTGCTGTCACCGTCTGCAGTGATCATGGAGCCCAAGAAAGTAAAATCTCTCACTGCCTCCATTTCTTCCCCTTCTATTTGCCAGGAGGTGATGGGCCCAGTGGCCATGATCTTCGTTTTTTTGATGTTGAGCTTCAGACCATATTTTGCGCTCTCCTCTTTCACCCTCACTAAAAGGTTCTTTAATTCCTCCTCACTTTCTGCCATCAATGTTGTGTCATCTGCATATCTGAGGTTGTTGATATTTCTTCCAGCAATCTTAATTCCGGCTTGGGATTCATCCAGCCCAGCCTTTCGCATGATGAATTCTGCATATAAGTTAAATAAGCAGGGAGACAATATACAGCCTTGTCGTACTCCTTTCCCAATTTTGAACCAATCAGTTGTTCCATATCCAGTTCTAACTGTAGCTTCTTGTCCCACATAGGGATTTCTCAGGAGACAAATGAGGTGATCAGGCACTCCCATTTCTTTAAGAACTTGCCATAGTTTGCTGTAGTCGACACAGTCAAAGGCTTTTGCATAGTCAATGAAGCAGAAGCAGATGTCTTTCTGGAACTCTGTAGCTACTAGAATGAGGCAAACCTGACACAGATGCTTTCAGAGATTTCTACCTCTAGGGCTCTTTTGACAATAGCCTATTAGAACTAGGAAAATGAAGATTTTGTATTAAAAGATGTATTAATTTTTTAGATATGGCAAATGCTAATGCTGAGGGCACATAGCCATTTGTCAACTTAAGCAGAAGCTTCTACATAATTGTTTCTCCATTTGTAGCAACTGCCCATGTGGTAGAAGAGAAACTTGTCACTTTCTTCAGATTCCTGATTTAGGTGCATTGCAAAATCCCCTTCCCTTCTTGGAACTTTTTGCTCACATAAACGACTGTTTCTATATCAAATGTGCAGAACATTAACACTCTTTCAATCAGAGCCTAACCAAGCTTACTCAAGAAAGCTAACATCAAGTGTAATTCCAGTACCTTTCAAGGATTAATTGCACCTCCAATTCTTATTTTAAGCAGCAAGCATACTTGCTGGCTATTTAGTTTTATTCAGTGTTCATCCTGCCCTTCCTCCCAATGAAGCCCACGGCAGGAAACGTTATCTGTAATATGAAAAACACTTTTTAAAAAGCACTCTTGAAACGTCTGGAAAACCGGTGATTTCTTTCAACCTTGCCAGGAACTTCAAGTTTATGTTTCTTTCAATAGACAGCCATAGGACACTGCAAACAGCATTATGTGAGCAATAAATATTTAACTGCATGGTAAAGGAAGCAGGTCCGTATAGTTAAAGCTATGGTTTCCCAGTAGTGATGTATGGAAGTGAGAGCTGGACCATCAAGAAGGCTGATCGCCGAAAAATTGATGCTTTTGAATTACATTGGTACCTTCATTCCGGAGGTCCATTCTTAACCTGCAACTGTTCTTAACCTGAAGCACCACTTTAGCTAATGGGGCCTACTGCTGCTGGAGCACAATTTCTGTTCTTATCCTGAAGCAACATTCTTAACCTGAAGCACAACGTTCTTAACCTGAAGCGTATGTAACCCAAGGTACCACTGTATGGTGCTGGAGGAGACTCTTGAGAGTCCCGTGGACTGCAAGATCAAACCTATCCATTCTGAAGGAAATCAGCCCTGAGTGCTCACTGGAAGGACAGATCCTGAAGCTGAGGCTCCAATACTTTGGCCACCTCATGAGAAGAGAAGACTCCCTGGAAAAGACCCTGATGTTGGGAAAGATGTTGGGCACAAGGAGAAGGGGACGACAGAGGACGAGATGGTTGGACAGTGTTCTCGAAGCTACCAGCATGAGTTTGACCAAACTGCGGGAGGCAGTGGAAAACAGGAGGGTCTGGCGTGCTCTGGTCCAGGGGGTCACGAAGAGTCGGACACGACTAAACGACTAAACAGCAACCAGGGAAGCAGGCGCCAGAGCCTTTCGCTGGGGGAAAGGCTAGCCGATTCCGAGCCGATTTCCAGCCACGTGTTTTTCGCTCCTTTTTCGCCCCACTTAAATCAATATCCTCGTGTCACCCTCCAGCGCCTGAGGAGGAGTTCTGTGAGACCCAAAACTCGCTCCCTACGGGGTGACTTCCAGATCCTACTACACTACAGGCACTCGCCGGTTGGAGGGCGGATGCCTGCCCTGCCCGTCCCTGAAGGCAGCTCCGTCACCTCGCGATAGGACCGGGAGGCGCGAGACGACAGGACCTCCCCCTCTTGCGCCCCAAAGCCGACTGAGGAGGCGAAGGACACGACGCAGTTTCAAGCGCGCGCGCATGCGTGGCTCCCTCCGGCCTGCCCCGCCCACTAAGCTCCCCTCGCGCCAAACGGGCAACCGTCGAGTGCGAGGGCAGGATGGGAAATGGAGGCCTCAGTTAGCGAGAGCGGCCGGGGAGCCGAAGGGGCTTCCGAACGGGCTGAGCCGCCAGCTTGTGGTGAGTCGGGCGCGTCTCCCAGCCTTCCTCCGACTCTGAGGCGAACCCGGGGAAGGGGCTTCCAGTCCCTGGCGGATGGGGCGCAGCGACCCCTCCCATAATGCGTCTTGTGAGAAGGCTGAGAGAAAGCCGGCGACGGCTTCCGACACGTACTTTGCAATAGGCTAGTCCTCATAGAGCCGCGTCGCATACTCTCGGAGGGCGCTAAATTCGGTGGTGGGGTGGTGGTAAGGGTTCAGGAGGACAGAGGACTCCTCCCGAGCTCCCCTTTTTAAAAAAAGTAACTGGCTGTGAAGGAGGGCGGGGTTGGTCGGTGGGACGAGGAGGATGTTCTGGCAGGTGCATCTTGTCGCTAGGAAGCTCCTCCCTTGTGGAACTCCCTGCCACAAGATGTGGCGGTGACCCCCTTGCTTGAGGTGGCTTTCCGTTGGGCAGGTTTCTTGCAGGGATAAGGCTGTCGGCAGCAAAGGGGAAGGTCGCAGCTTTTGCGGCTTGTTAATTCGGAGAGAAGGCGACTAAGAGGCAGCGCGATAGGAGAAGAAAGTGGTTTTCGCTGCCTCTCCCAACACCAGGACTCGCGTGGACAGACAAAAGAAAGTACTTCACGCCGTGTGTTGCTAAATTACAGAATTCGCTCCCACAGGATTTCGTGTTTGCCACCAACTTGGATGGCTGTAAAAGAGAATTACGGTAGACAAATTCATGGAGGAGGAGGAGGCTGTCAATGGCTACTAGCTGTGGTGGCTGTGTTCTGCCTCAATGGTCAGAGGTAGTAATGCTTCTGAATATCAGTGACATGTAGATTTCCCACAGGCACCTGGTTGGCTGCTGTGAGAACAGGATGCTGGACTAGATAACCCTTGATCCTATGCTAATTTAGCATATTGACACAAAAATGTGTTTTCTCCATGGTTATTCATTTGCAATGAAATACTATGTTTTACTTGGTACTTAATAGTGGGCTATTAAATTCAGTTTTTAAGAAGTCAGATTTAGCATGCTTGAATTCAACTTTAATTTTAAACAGTCTATTTTTAATTGATATTAAATTAAAATAATTAGTTAAATTGTTAATTTTGTTCCACTCTTAACTTGACAGGATTTTTACATGCTAAGAATGCTTTCCAGTCTGCAGTGTGTTGGTTAATGCAGCACAGAGAGCGAAAGAGAAGCATTTTTCAACAGAACGTGCATTTTATGCATCATAGGTTTTGCATTCCAATTACAGGTGCAGAAAATGCAAGCATCAGTTCAGTGGTAACTTAAATAAAGTCTGATCTAGAGCCTTGATATGCAAGTATGCATGTGCAACTTCCATATTTGCATGTTGGTGGTTATTTTAATTCCTCTGTAAGGCAAGAGCACAGATTCCATTTCAGACAAGGATTTAATTCTTGGGGCCCTACAATCTTCAAGTCACCTTAATAGACTGTTAAACATTACTTTTAATCATATTTTCCAGTTTCTTTCCCGGACCTTGTTAAATTGACTTTGCCATAGCCTTGAGTAAACAATTTACACCACACCTGACAATTAGTTTTACAACTAGTTCTCAAAGAGAATTGAATTGCTCTGTTTGGGTGGGGAGGAGGGTTGCCCTCCCTTTATTTCTGAATTGGGCTCCTCAAATGGCGCAGGCTAAAAATCTAAATCTAGTAGCCATGTTTTGCTCTTTCATGAAAAGGCCTGTATTCTTGGAGATGAACTGTACCAGAATACACAACGTCCTTAGGCAAAACACACAGGTTCCTTTCAAGGTGGAGAACAAGTATAAAGATAAACAGTCTTTATGTAAACAGAGGAAGGAACTTGTAAACCTGAAGGAAATGACCCTCATAATATACCCACCATATTCTAACTGAAACCTTACCCAAGTTAAGAGGCAGATTGTGAAAGCTTTATTCTGAATGTGGTTGGTTAATTGTTGATGCAGGAGAAGTGTGTCAAGTTGTAGTGACCCCTCAAAAGGGCATAAATTCAAAGGGTAGATTTCAAGATTGTACTAATACAATTGTTCTGTCGGCAAAAGTGTTTATGCTTGCTGGATGGAGCAATCTCCCATTTCCTTCCCCCAACCATGCTGGGTTTTTTCCTGACATTTTGGACCATATTTGGCACAGAAGGAGTGGGGGGGGGAGTCCCTTTGCATTAGCAGGAGTCTTTGTGCTGGCTTCCACTAGCAGCACAACAGGTTAGTTGATTCTAGCCCAGAGTGTTGGGCCAGTATAACTTTGTATCCACATCATTTTTAAGATGCTTTGATAATTAATTTTAAAAAAAACTTTAACATACTGTTTGGCCAGCACAGAAGACTTTTCAAAGACTGTAATAACCTGTCTCAATAAGCTAGCTTCATTATCTTAACCACATACACTTGTGTTCATATTGGTATTCTACCATTTTCTCTTGCACCCCCTCACTTTCAAGCCAATGTGTTGAAAAATTTTAGTGTATTATTTTTAAAAATAAGGTTTCAGGCATTTCCATTTTCAGTTAGCTCATAGGTTTCTAGCCCTAGAATTCTTACAGTTAAATATAGGTGACATTTCTGTGTAGATCTTAATTGTCCTTTTCCCTTCTAATAAATTAATTATCGGTCTAATAATGTTGGTCTAATTGCAAAATATGACCTTGTTCTTTCATCAGTATTTTGTGTAATTCTATAGCATAAACAAGTTTTTGAAGACTAGTCTTCGTAGTTTAAAAAAATTAAATGGCCTATCTTTAGGGATATCTTCATAATTCTAAATATTAAGGCACATTTTAATCAGTGGGCATCTTTATGTCACGCCTGTAACTTTTTATATTGCAATTGATTCTTCAAGACTAAAGACACAAGGAAAATATCAACATTTTGTGCTGTATCAAGACTATCTATAGGATGGATGATTCCCACATATTTTCAGGTTAAGCAGTCTTTCAGGATACTTTGCATTTAACAAATAGGTTCTGGTAACTTTTTCTTAGTGAGCAGGAACATCCAGCAGTTTCAGTTTGATAGATATTTTTGAGTAAATATTGAAAAAGAGCAGTGGATGGAAGTAGCCACATCATATGTCAGCTTTCTCAGTATTTGTCTGTTAAGTTTACGTTGGTGTTACTTTAGTGTATAATTATTTGTTTTTCAATGCAGAGGCATCATGCGTAACTCCAGTTTTAAGTGAATCAAGGAAGATTAATGGACACTATGAAGATACCAAAACCGCTCTACGCTTTTGCAGTTTTTACATGTGCTGCTATTTATGCGGTATATGTAAAATGGCATTTGGACTTTAAAACAAAAACTACCGTCAATGATTTGGAAAGCCAGCTCAAAAGTGCGTCAAGAACAGATAAGGAAGTTCTTTATGGAATCATGTTTGATGCTGGAAGCACTGGGACTCGAATACACATATTCAAATTCACACAAAAGCCAAAAGGTAGGCTAACATGTTTCAGTTAAACTGCAACATTTGTATTGGGACAGTACCTTTATTAGACCAACTGAAATGTCGCAGGACAGCATGCAAGTTTTTGACTTCTCAACAGTTCATCAGGCTAGATAAAGTGAGGGCAAGGAGAGAGAAAAATGGTTGCTGATAAAGCCAGGAGCCTGCATTTTGTAAGAGTCTTAAGATAAAATTGTGAGTAGGCACAAGAGGCTCTGAAAGTGCTATGCAGGTTTTAGGTGTGAAGACATAGGTCCTCAGACCAGTTCTGTTGTGTTATCTGTATTATGGCAACATAGTTTGCAAGGCTTCATTACTTCAGGATGAAAGGGATGTATTGCTAGTGAAACATAGCCAATAGCTAGTTCTTTATCTTAATTTTTATTCTTACACCTAACCTGGAGCCACTGATATCTGTGGGGATGGAGGAGCTTAGCTGAGATCTAATTCAAAGGCTGAATTTGAACATTGCCTTCAGATGATGCAGCCTAATTACAGTGTTCATATGAGCCGTTAATGTTAACCATATTGTGTAGCAGGGCTTCACGTTAATCCCTGGACAGTGGCGTTATCTTGGCCTTCAGTGTATACATTTTTTTTATTGTAGATTAACTCAATTCTCTTGCACTTCTTTAACAGAAATTCCTAAATTAATCCATACCACATTCAGAGCACTAACGCCAGGACTTTCTGCATATGCTGACAGTGTTGATAAGGTAATTTGAACTTTACTCGTCAAGAGAATATGTCTGTGATTCTCACTTTCTGTAATGTGAAAATTCAGCAATTTATGCTACAATCCTCTCCATACTTTTCCTGGGAGTAAGCACCTCTGAACACACAGACACTTAATGTGTAAACATATAGGCAGTGGCACTATCCAGTTGACACTTTTCCAGTCACTAGGTTACAGAAATACTGTGCGTACATTCTGTTAAATAGCACTACACCTGGTACTTCAACAAGATGCCCAAGTCTTGTGGATTTGCAGCTTTGAAAGGCATGTCCTACCAGTTTGTAGAACATTGTGAAGTTCCACTGTGAAGGCTGTTGTGACGTTGTGCTAAAGGACCAAGTTATAACTTAGAGGTTCTTTTAGCTTCAAAATGTCACTGCTGAGCGGTAGGAACGGAGTCTGACCTTGGCACTCAGGACTACTCATGTCAAACAGCTGGAACCAAAGTACTTAAAACACTCTGACGTGCCCTGGAGAGGCCTCTATAACTTCCCTGCACCTTTAGCCCTCAGGCCAGAGGTTCTCTACCCTTCCTTTATGTTGGCTAAAGACTGATGCAGGATCTCAGAATGGTGGTGGCAAAAAAGATCTTCATGTATCTCGAACTGGAAAATGGGAAGTGATGAGCAAAACATGAATACTAGTGTGTGTGTATCTCTACCAAAGTCTTCATTTTTTAAGTGCTAAAATTGAAGCATATTTATTATTTATTTATTTATCAATCATCTTAACTATCTATCTATCTCTTCAGAGTGCTCAAGGAATAAACGAACTACTGACAGTTGCTAAAGAAGATGTTCCTCTGGAATTGTGGAAGTCCACTCCTTTGGTCCTTAAAGCAACAGCTGGCTTAAGACTGCTGCCAAAAGAAAAGGCACAGAAATTGCTGGATAAGGTATTTTGCTTCTGCTGTTTTTTGCAACTAAGTTAGCTGCACATATTATATACACTATGCTATCGGTCTTGCCAAAATAATCCAACATCCATGCTTCTGTCCACTAGCTAATAAACTTTGAGGCATAAAAGTGAACAGCACAGTCTCAAAGAATGGCTGCATCATAAATGAGTTGTTATCTGGCAGGGTACAGTTAACATTCTGGAGACTGAAATATAAAATACATAGATGAACTGTGCTTCCTCATTATGCACTTTGGAAAGGGTATATCTATAAATGCCAAACATGCAGGATGGATTACAACAGCAGACTTGCAAAGTTGGCAACAACCTTCTTTAAACCTTGGAGGGGGGAGTCTGTGACATGATAGCTAAATGAAGAAAATCCAGAGTATCAAGATAAAATCCAGGATAACATAGCTCACCAAAAATAAAAGTGAACAGAAGCTAGTCTAGGTTTTCTGGTGACGAACTCATGAAAGAAATGAAGGGAGTCATCATAATATAAATTCTGAGGTAACACCCTCCTAACTACTCTGCAAATGCTGTGTTACTTTGTCTACAAATGCAAGCTTCCAAACCCTATCATAGCAGTTTTGCATGTGGAGAACTCCACTTCTCCATAAGAATGTGATCTTTATCTGGGCTGCTACCAGAAAATGGTTTATAAATGCTTTACGTGCTTTTTTGCGGGTGTGGAAGGGTGAATTTTTAAAAACACTAAAAAATTTAGTCTTTTTTCAAATTTAGGTTAAGGACATCTTTCAAGAATCTCCGTTCCTTGTAAGGAGTGACTGTGTCTCTGTAATGGATGGAACAGATGAAGGTAGTGATCTTACCTGTCAGCAATTAAGCAAGTTTTCTTTTCAGTGGTTTCATAAAATTACTTTTAATTCAGCAATAAAATCTGAACCTCTGTGGTTGGAGGATGGATGGTGGCTAACAGAATGAAGTTGAGTCCTGACAAGACAGAAGTACTGTTTTTGGGGGACAGGGAGCGGGTTGGTGTGGGGGACTCCCAGGTCTTGAATGGGGTAACTGTGCCTTGAAGGACCAGGTGCGCAGCCTGGGAGTCATTTTGGACTCACAGCTGTCCATGGAGGCACAGGTTAACTCTGTGTCCAGGGCAGCTGTCTACCAGCTCCACCTGGTACGCAGGCTAAGACCCTACCTGCCCGCGAACTGTCTCGCCAGAGTGGTGCATGCTCTAGTTATCTCACGCTTGGACTACAGCAACGCGCTCTACGTGGGGCTACCTTTGAAGGTGACCCGGAAACTGCAATTAATCCAGAATGCGGCAGCTAGACTGGTGACTGGGAGTGGCTGCCGGGACCACATAACACCGGTTCTGAGAGATCTGCATTGGCTCCCGGTACGTTTCCGAGCATGATTCAAAGTGTTGGTGCTGACCTTTAAAGCCCTAAACGGCCTCGGTCCTATATACCTGAAGGAGCGTCTCCACCCCCATCGTTCAGCCCGGACACTGAGATCCAGCGCCGAGGGCCTTCTGGCGGTTCCCTCATTGCGAGAAGTGAGGCTACAGGGAACCACACAGAGGGCTTTCTTTGTAGTGGCGCCCGCCCTGTGGAACGCCCTCCCATCAGATGTCAAAGAGATAAATAATTACCTGACATTCAGAAGACATCTTAAGGCAGCCCTGTTCAGGGAAGTTTTTAATATGTAACGCTGTACTGTTTTTAACACTGATTGGGAGCCGCCCAGAGTGGCTGGGGAAACTCAGCCAGATGGGCGGGGTATAAATAATAAATTATTATTATTATTATTATTACTCTGTGAAACTCAGGGAAGTTGTTGCTGCTGCTAAATAGTTACACAGTACCGTATCTCCATATGGCAAGTACAGAGCAAAACAAACAAATCAGCAAGTCCATGTCTCAGTGAACTTGCAATCGAAGACCCGCAAAAGCAAGGCAATTTCCATTCCTCCTCCCGCTTTGTTGTCAGTTTTTTTCCATTCAGCCAGACAGCACTCCCTGCCACTGAGTTCTTGCAGGTCTGTTTTGAGAGGTCCCCCTTAGGTTTTTTCCTTAAGATTTGTACTTTTTTAAACCTCCGGGTCCACCCAAATCTGCCGATTCCTCCCACATGTGGGCAAGTGCTACAATTTTGGCTGCATAATAGGATGCATTCTCCCCTGAAGATAAGCTATTTGTTGCAGCATGCATCACTTCCATTTGCTTACACTAAGGAATCTTCTCTGCCATTCTCTTGCTCATTTGTTCAGTTTGGAGAGACCCTAACTGAGCAAACCTGTCCTGTTTATGCATTCATGTATTATGTATATTGATTACTAGAAGTGGAAAACCACTTTGTGTCTATTCACATAATTTCAATTTTTTTAAACCAGGTATTTCAGCATGGATCACTGTCAACTTCTTAACAGGTATCTATAGAAGTAAATTGTGATCTGTTAATGATGAGCCTTATAATTATTTATGTATCAAATATATATTCTGCCCTTCCTCCCAAAGGAGCCCAGGGCAGCAATTTTGTGGCAATATATGCCATGCTGTGATCCTTAGTAAGTGTATAAATTGGCTTTGTTCTGTAAAACTACAAGATTCTCAGTATAATTTCATGCATTTTTACTTGGAAGTACTGCTGTGTTCAATGGGGCTTACTCCCAGATAAGTTTAAATATGATTGTAACTTCCTGAAGATGGTCTGCTTTCAAATCATATCTGCATTTATAAAGTAATATGTTGGCAATAGAGGTAAATAAAACAGCTGTATGTTATGACCTTGTAAAACAAAAAATACACTTCTTGCATTTGCACCGTAAGTACAAATATTTAGCAGTGTTTCAGAGCAGGGTGGCACATAACACATTGCTCACTCAGCAGCTAGTTATTATGAGTTGTTGAAAAAAGTAATATTTGCAAATGTATTTTTAAAAGATGCCTATTTAAAATTCTTAGACCGTAACCCTTATTTACTTCTGAGTAGGTATGGTTAGGATTGCTCTTTTAAAAGAAATTATTTAATAGGATCTCACATTTTGTTCATAGAGCATAATTCCATGCAGATGCTGTGTCTGAGGTATAATGACTAAATACGCTATTAACTTTGTTTTTTTTAAATAATACATTTCAGATAGCTTGAATACTCCAAGAAAGAGGTGTGTAGGAATGCTGGATTTAGGAGGTGGCTCAATTCAGATCACATTTCGCCCAAGCACTAAGGTAACAAGAACACGGGTCTCCTTAGTCATGTCAGTTGTAATGAACGACCAATTGATGTGTTGCTTTTTTCCCTTTGCTCTGCTTCCAGTTTGATTTTTGAGTGTCAAACATATTGCTTGGAGTGTATATTCAGAACTTTGTGCTTGAGAAGAAGCAGGGTGACCTTTCATTCCGGCATTTTTCCCCTCAAGGCAACACTTTGCCTTGGGCTTTAAGGCTGTAGAGCTGAACACATGAGCTTTCACCCTAGTATGATTCAATAACTTTGTGATATGGACTGTTCGGTGCTATTTATCCATACAAGTTTTTCCACAGAGTTCACGCAATGCCGTCATCAAAACGCCACCCCATATCCCTGCCAACCACCACTTCATCTGGATTTACTGTTTCTGTGTTGTTGTTGTTTGGGGGGGAAACCGTGGAACATCATTTTGTTGAGGAGGGTGTCATGTGGCTGCTGTGTAAAACATATGGGCGTGAGCACCACCAGCTCCACAAGAAACAGTAATACTTTATCATAAGTTATATTCCTAAACTGACCTACCTCATAGGGTGGTTGTGAGGGTAAAATGGGGGAGGGGGTGGAACTTCCTCTGAGTCCCTGTGGTGGGAAAATGGCAAGATATAAATAAATAAATTAAAAACAACAATAATATCTGAGCTCCTTGAAGGAAAGGCGAGAGAGAAATGTAATAAACTTTCAGATATTTCAGATTGGCTACCGGTTCTAAACATGTATGAGCCACACTTTGTCATTTATTTGAAATGGAAAGTGCCATTAAAAGGGGTTGGTATTTCATCAGGTTTCCAAACACACCCAATGACCTGCACATTCTTTTTTCTACATTCAACCTGATAGGATGCTCAAAGCCAAGTTTTCCCGCTTATTTTTTTATGGTACTTAGAATGCCTGGCTACATAAAGACCATAAAGTTCTAAACCCTTCAGAACACTCTTGTTCAACACTCCTGAAATCATTGAGTTTATTATTCTGCTTTGCTTTGTATGGAGCATTCAATTTATTTCTCTTTATAGACAGCTCTGGAGAGCTCCCCTGCTGGTCGCATCACTTCATTTCAGATGTTTAACACCACATACCAGCTGTATTCACACAGGTTAGTTGTGAGTAGGAATGGGCAAGTCTATCCATTTTAGTTTCTCATTTTTCCAATCTAAAATTCCGTTCAACACATTTCCCCATTTTTAAAGGTCCTTGTGAAAATTCACCTGCATTTCAGTTGTGAATTTCTCCTATTATCTTATTTGGCGATCACGCGTAGCCGAGTAAGATTGTCTTCCATGAACACGGTCTTAACAGTGAGTCCGTAAGTGACTGTGGAGGCCAATTCTGGATCTACACGTCCTTCCACAGTTGGGGACATAGGTTTCTAGCTGGGAGTTGATCACGGCAAGGGTTTGCCAAACATGCCTTCCTCTTAGCACATTTCTTCCTTACATCCTGAGTTTGAGCATCTTCAAAGTCCATGACGCCTTTGGTAAAGGCTGTTCTCCAATTGGAGCACTTGCAGGCCAGTGTTTCCCAGTTGTCAGTGTTTATACTACTTTTTAAAAATTTGCCTAATACACACATTTATACAAAGTGATGGTCCCTAATATTTCTGGTTTTGTGCAATACTTTCACTAATACATGCATTTTTATGCACAATTTACCCTGGTATATCCTAAGAGATCGCTTTTTTCCCATATAAAACATAGTTTCTATCTCTGGCGCAAAAATCAATTGTTCATATTTTCTGACAGTTTAAAACCTTAATAGCTGCCAACCTAATTGCCAACTTAATAGCTGCCAATAGCAGATTCTGTTTCTGTGTGTGTATTATTTACAGTGGTACCTCTGGTTACGTACTTAATTTGTTCCAGAGGTCCGTTCTTAAGCTGAAACTGTTTTTAACCTGAGGCATCACTTTGGCTAATGGGGCCTCCCGCTGCTGCCGCGCCACCGCCGCCGCACAATTTCTGTTCTCATCCTGAAGCAATGTTCTTAACCAGAGGTACTATTTCTGGGTTAGCAGAGTCTGTAACCTGAAGCGTATGTAACCTGAAGCGTATGTAACCCGAGGTACCACTGTATTTAGAGACGACCCTTAATGGATACCATGTAACAATAAAAATGAACTCTGCCTCAGTGCCAAGAGTGTTGTGTTTGATCATGTTTTACCTCCTCCCCAGTTACTTGGGACTTGGATTGATGTCGGCAAGGCTGGCAATTTTAGGAGGAGTTGAAGGTCAAGCCTGTAAGTATTGCACATTAAGCTTGAGTGATGGGGATTTAAGATTTTTAGATGCTTCTGTTTAACCTGAGCTTTGTGCTGTATAGATAACTTAACCAAATAGCAACCCAACTTTGTAGATAAGGGATCTTGCCAGCTTTTCTTTATACTGTGTCTGCTTGATAGCTAGAAAATTGATGCTAAAATTATATCTATTTAGATCATTTTGTCTGAAAAAGATAAGATTCCTGCTGCCTCTCAAGTAAAGGATGAAGGTTGTGCAGTTGTAGGAACAGGATTTAAATGTTCTGAGATTTGTGTGGCTGAATAGAGGGACGGGGAAATGCTTTGTGGATGGGGAAGATCAAGATCTCCAGATGAACTCTTTCCCCTTGTGTCAGTGCATTTCTTTCCCTTTTACAGTAAAGGAAGGTGAAGATCTTACAAGTTCCTGCTTATCGCCTGGTTTCCAGGGTGAATGGGAGCATGCCAAGATAATATACAAAATTAAAGGGCAGAAGGCAGGTATAGTAACTGGTCATCTCTTAATTTGGTAATGCACATTTCCCTTCAGTATCTCCATTAACTTCGATCGGGAATTGCCAGAGTGGCGTGGGAAAGGAGAGAATTTTGAAAGTGGAAGGGGAGAATTTACTGAATTCTGTGCCCCTGCCAGTGATTACACTTTAGAGATATTGGGTCCTTATTTAATCAGAATGCTCTATACTGGGATTTCGTACTTCTGTTAAGTAATATTAGATATGTACTGTTGCCTGCTTGGCGTCCTTATAACTTCACTTGTTTACAATTGAACAATGTTCTAAAACTGTTTGTTCGGCAAATCTCACATACTTGAATGTCGTCTCTAATGTTGAATTATTAAGGGTGTTTTCCCCCTGCATTTAGGAAAACCTCTCTTCGAATCATGTTCTGATGAAATAGCAAAACTGATCAGCACAAAGGTTCATAGGACAGATGAAGTAAAGGATTTGGATTTTTATGCTTTTTCCTACTATTACGATTTGGCGGTGGATGCTGGCTTAATAGGTAAAATTGCTTTTGATTTCGCTAGTAATATAAAGGTGATTGACAGTACAGTCATACCTCGGGTTAAATTTGCTTCAAGTTGAGCGCGTTCGAGTTGCTCTCCACGGCAGCCCGGAGGTAACGGAGCGCGTTACTTCCGGGTTTCGCCGCATGCGCAGACGCTCAAAATGATGTCACGCGCATGCGCAGAAGCAGCGAAAAGCGACGCGCGCGCAGACGTGCTCTCACTAGATGCGAATGGGGCTCTGGAACGGATCCCATTCATGTCTAGAGGTACCACTGTAGTGTTCTTGTTTGAGATTTAGGGACATGCGAAACTGCCATACAGAGACCATTTGGTCCATCTAGCTCAGTACTGTCTACACTGGCTGGCAGCAGCCCTCCAGGATTTCAGGCAGGAGTCTTTTCCAGCCTTACCTGGAGATGCCAGTGGGAATCGAACCTGGAACTTTCTGCTTGCAAGGCAGACACTGAGCCACTGAGCTATGGCCCTTCCCAAAGTGAGACAAACTCCCATATGAAATTGCTGAGCTAAAATTCATGTGTAGATCTGACACAGTGGTCTGAAGAGAGATTGTGAGTGACTAGCTCGCTACAGAAAGTAGCTGTTCTTTGTTAGGTGTTAATGTACCCTCTATCAATTTAAATGCATTTGGAACTGAGTCACTCCCAGATTTAACTGGACCTTTTACTCTTTCCCACTGGGTTTTTGCTTTCATTCAACACTGCATAGTAATGGTGATCACATTTAGACTTTGTATTGCTGACTCCACTTTGTAATAATACTCCTCTTCTATACTGTGCTATTATACTGTATGAGAGCCAGTCTCGTATAGTGGTTGGTGTGTTTGACAAGGACCCCGGAGACCAGGGTTCAAAAACCCACTTGGCCATGAAGCTCATGGGTGACCTTGGGCCACTTACTGCCTCTCAGCCTAACCTTCCTCTCAGGGTTGTTGTGGAGATTAAATGAGGAGGATTATCTGTGTACACAACCTTGAGCTCCTTGGAGAAAAAAGTAGAATATAAATGCAGAAATAAATACTCCATCTACCCCTGTCCGTCAACTGAGGATAACACACTTTTGCATCTCTGAGATAGGTTTGGGCCCATAATTAAAGTTTAAGCCCCAACCAATTTTTTAGTGTGTATGGCACTACAGGACTCATTATGGGCTGCAACAGAGTCGAGGCCAGTTCTGAAATTTGTCACCATTAACCCTACTAGCTAATTTTCTAAAAGCAAGTATAGTGGAAGAGGATTGAATTCAATAGACTTCTGATTCTTTCTGTTCTTACAAGTCAACTTTATATAAACTACTTCCTTCTGCTTCTGACTCCCAAGAAGCATTAAACTTCCTGAATTTCCCAGGGACCTCCTTCGATCTCTCTCTCGGAGTCCCATTGTCAGTGACAAAAAATTATTATTATTATTATTATTATTAGTTTATTTAAATTTGTATACCACCCTTCATCCAAAGATCCCAGGTCTGTTCATAACAGAAACATACAAAATGAGAATGCAAAAATGATCCCAGGAAGGCTTGCTTTATGCTTCATATTTTGTGCTCTTCACAGTTCACTGCAGTCCTTATTGTATCACATTACAATGAAAGAGCATAATGTGATTCTCTAGCACAACTGGGATGGCTGTAAACATAGCCTCTTTGTTTCCTGCATACTGTTACAACTGAACACAAAACTGTTAAGAGGTGTATTTTGCGGCATCACTTCCAGTAGCCAAAGTCTGCTGTTTTTCCCGTCATTCTTAGGACCATTAGCAGTGATGCATCCAGGCAGCTCTGCTCTGTCTCAGTACTTCCCATCCCCACAGTCAAGGTATGTAGGGTGCTTTGACTCATGTTGTTCCACACCCCAAAACTGGTCCACATGGCTAGCAGAGATTGAGACAGGATTAGTGTGACCAGTACGGTTGACATAGCTGGCTTCTTGTGGTGGGATGTAAAGAGAAGTACCTTCCTTCTTCAGGACTGCGTCTTTCCTGGATGTGCACTCTAGCAATTTAATTTGGATAACAGAAAACCTCTTAACCTGTGTTTGCATGCATGCATGCATTCTTTCTTTCCTTTTTATGTGGGGTCATTCTGCCTAGATAGTTCTGCTATGGTGGGAAATGAAAAAAGCTATCCCTGCACCAAACACAACCTGCAGACCATAACTTATTCAGTCTCCATACAAGACAAACTATGTAGAGTCTGCCTCTAGCAAAGGCCTGGATTTCACTGATGATAAACTTGAGTCTCGTCTGTTCCACAATGGACTACAACTGTGGACTCAAAGAAAGGAATGTTCATCCATGTAGAAGGCTAGATTTTGGAAGGAAGACCTCACTATATACCAGTGTACATCTTTGCCCCCCCCCCAGCATGCTAGTTTTCTATGTGCATTTTTCTGAATGGAGGAGCATTTAATTATGTTCAGTCTGAAAGCCAGACTGGTTTGCCTCCCTCACTGAGCCCTAAGCTAAAAAGTTCAGTTTGAAATGCACAGAGCAGTTACTGCTTGAATTACACATTTAGAATACCTGTAGGCTGAGTGTTATTCCAGCACAACTCTTCCTTCTCTTCCTCTACAACTGAAGAGTCCCTTTTCTCTCTTTAGATAATGAAAAAGGAGGGACCCTAGCAGTTGGTGAATTTGAAGCTGTTGCAAAGAATGGTAAGCCACTTCATCTTTCTTGCCTATGTGTGAACAAGGAAAGTGTCATTAAGAGGTTGACAGTTAAAACTGTAGCCCACCAGAGGACCAGCACTGAAAATGTCATTGTTGCTATTATTAATTACCCACCCTTCAACCAAAGATTCCAGGGTGGGTTGCAACCTTAAAACACAATATTGAAAACAGTATAAAAAACTTACCATCAGAAAAATAAGGTGGGTCCTAAAACTATACACCTCAAGTGGCAAAAGTATTGTGGAAATACAACCTGCTTTTTACAGCTCATTTTTCTGTTTCTATCCCCAAAGTGTGTAAAACCATGGAAGATCAAGAAGGAGAGCATCCTTTTCTCTGCATGGATCTCACATATGTCAGTTTGCTTTTGGAAGAACTAGGCTTTCCAAAGAGCCATGTTCTTAAGGTAATCATTCTTAACCACTGTATTTAGAGCTAAATGTGAGAAGAGGCTATCTCACAAAACAAGCATTAATTCTGCAGGTTTTGAAAAGGGAGGCACATACAGCAGTATTCAACTAACATGTCTTGCATAATAGAATCCCCCCTCCTCTTTTCCTCCTGCTCATGCCTCATGCCCTCCCCAAATCTGCTGCAGAGGGTTGGGAAACCCCTAGAACAGATTAAGGTGATAGGAAAATTCCATGTGCAAACAGAAATCCTTGTGTTGATGGAACATTCACGTAGTGCTACTTTGAATACAGCCCTACTTGCAAATTTCCTCATTTAGAGTTGCCTGTGCAGTATCTTGAAATCTCGGTTTTGTTTTTTTAAAATATTTTTCATCTTGTGACAACAAGGGCTTCAGTTAGTAGACCGCAAAGAGCTGGGGGTGGGAGTGGTGGAAGAGAAGAGACTGAGGACTCTGCAGGAAGGAGGGAGTTTTGCCCAGAACATTACAGCTCCAGCACCAATTGCACACCAAGTTCTTAAACTACGAATCACACTGCTATTTGCAGACTAATTTTTAACACATGCAGAACTTATTTGGAACACTCCATTGCCTTTCCCCTTTTCCCATTATGTAATCTAGGTGTCTATTGGATCACATGACCTTGTTTATTTAGAGAGCTAGTGCACACATGCATATTCATCATTTAACTGAAATGTCAAGTGTTAGCTTGTATTTCTGAATGGGCCAACATGGCTCCTACAAACTCGGAGAACTTACATATCACCTGAGGCAAAACACATTTTAATAGAGTTGGCTTGCATATACAACTGCAAATCATGAAGTACAGAGGGGCCAAGTGACGACTGTGTGACGCAGGCAAGAGAAACATAATCATTTCCAATATCTTTGTCCACTTTTCATTTTAGCTTGCTCGAAAAATCAACAACACTGAAACCAGCTGGGCTCTGGGAGCTATACTTCACTATATGGATTCACTTCACAAACTGCAATATTAGGGCTTTGGGAGCCTTGGGGATGCAGTGAGTCTGGGAGGATGTGATGTGGCAGCATTGTGGAAGCTAAGCAGGTGTGGACCTGGTCAGTTCCTTGGACCGGAGACTACTGGAAGCTGCACTGCTGGAAGACTACTACTGTAAAAGCTATACATGTGTGTGTGTGTATTTCATAAATACATTTCAAAAGGCCTTGTCCTCTTTCAGCAGGGAACTCAGGTGCTCGTTTTTGGTAGCTTAACATACCACTACTCTGTGAAATTGTGTACCTTTCTAAAAGTGTCACTTAAAGTCGGGGATAGTGATTCTGAAAAGGACTAGGCCATGGCAGCTGAGATCCAAGTCTTGGGCAACATACCTGAGCTGAAATGGAATGAATGCAAAAATCACCCTGTGATTCATGATGAGAATATAGTCATGTTCTTCGGACTGCCAGGGGTACCTCCTTTCTCCTCCTCTGTCCACATTTGCCTGGTTTTCTATATTTTGGGGACAGTTCATTCCCTCCATTGCAGAATTTCTACAGTGTTTGTCATCAGGGATTTGGTCAGCCTTTCTGTCACAGCTTTTCAATGATGGGCAGCTTGAGGAAGGTTTCCTCCTCTTCCAGCTGTCCAGCATCACCTGATCCTTCAATCAAGTGCTGACTCTACCTCCAGGACGAGTTAACTCTTTCTTGCATGCTCCTCCGCTGACCAGGAGGAAACTTCACAGCAAGCCAAACCTGCCATTCTCTATCATGTTCTACAGTCTCTATGAGAAAAGCACATCATCCTCAGGCAGGCTTTTTGCCTTTCCAGCAAGCATTCAGAAACAAGTGTGACTTTTATATTGCAGTCTGTGCACACGCATTTGGGGGAATTGCTTTATTTTTCTTAAATGTATAGAAACTAACAAATGGTGTCTTAAAATATATATATATATTCTGCTTTGTCCAACTTTACCAGTAGGCATTGAGATTTATCTTCTGAAACTCAGCATTTCTGTTCTTCATAGTCTGTACCATACTGGGTTATTTGGGCGGTGTTCTGGTGGTTTTAAGGCCTTTCTCACAATCTGAAACCAGTTAGTGTCTCACTTGCTAGCTGCACACTGAATTCTCAATACTGAAATTGAGTTGATTTTTAAATGAAAGGTTAAGAGCAAACTTCTGCCCTCTCCTTAATGTTGATAGCAGAAAGGAAGGCGGTTACAATGGCATGTTGGTGTCTCTCTGCTGGAAGGTGGGTTTTGTCATGATGGGGACCCCAGTTGTGACCCAACTGTTGGTTGTCCTACCAATGATAGCAAGCAGCCCCCCCAAACCTGTCTTTCTTAAAAATCTCGTTTACTTGAAAATATTAAAACCAGCCTGTGACCATTCTTGCTATTTCTTCCTTTTTTCCTTTCTTATAGAACCCTCTTTAAATTCAAGAAGATCTCTGTGTATTCCCCAGTTCTTTTCCATATTTTATTTTTTTACAGCAACTGCCTCCATTGGGGATATCCAGCATGGAGTCATGTTAGAGAATCCCTTGTGAACTTCAGCTTTATCATAATACAAATAACATTGCCACCCATACACTAGATCTAATCCTTTTAAGTCCAAGATACCTGCATCTTTCAAATCCATCCAGCCCAGACAGGCTGCCTCATAATACATTTTTAGGTCTAGCAGGGCAAATCCCACCCCCGTATTCTTTGTGCCAATTAAAAAATTGTATTTAACCCTAGGTTTTTTTTTCTCTTGCCAGACAAAATGTGTTATATCTTTTATTCATTGTTTAAAGCAGTTGGTATTTCTGATCACAGGCAGGGATTGAAATAGGAAGATCATTTTTGATAACACATTCATTTTAATTGCAAAGATTCTTCCTAACTTTGTGAGGTTAACTCAGTTCCATTTCTCCATGCCTTTCTTAACTTCAATCCAAGTTTTATTATACTTGGACAAGGTTTAATTTTTTAGAGGCGAGCCATACCCCCATATATTTAACTTTCTTTTGAACATGTATTACAGAAAACAGGGCTACAGCTTAAGGGTGAAACTGCACATTATGAACCATGTTTGATTTAAATAATAAGAAGAAGCATGAGGAGAGGGGGGCTTATTTTCATTTGGATTGTGGTGTACAGGGGAAAGGAGTTTAGCTTTCCTCCCTGCCACAAGCTGCTGTTAGCCTGAGAGCGAAACACTCTTATTGTTGTCAATGGGGAACTTTCCCCTCTGGGCTAAAAGGGGTGGTTGGAGGTGCAGTTTTAGTCTGCAGAGGAAGAAAGAGTTAAACTTCTGCTCCCCTGCATACTGCAGTCCTGACAAAAATTGCACTCGCTGCTGTACAGTTACTTTTAAAAAAACCTGACTTGGTTCCTAATGATGTATCTAATGTACATCTGGTATCCTGTTCATGTATACTTAATGGAGTACTTCATTTTAAGGCTGTGAAGGGTCTGGTCTAGGAGCCACTGTAGCTAACGGAATGTTAATATTGTAAGCACCAACTCTTAGGTTAGAAAACAAATTGAATGCAAAAAACTCTTCCAGTTGTTCGATTGTCCTTGGCTTGTCTGTTGAAGTAGCATGTGTGCAAATGAATTTTGGATATTCAAAAATTATTTTTACTGTCAATTAAAAAAAAAAAGCAAGTGAACACCTGTACTGTTCCAATTCATGGAGGTGAATAATGAGTTACACAGCATGTTAAACTGCCATTTTTTATTATCTTCTATCTGGTGGCAGCACCAGGAGAAGAGATGGTGAGGGACCTCTGTTGGCTCAACAGGGACCATCTTACCACCTTCTCAGAATACTCTCATGCAATGGTCCTGGAACCTGGGTTTACTTATTTTTTTCCTTTTTCCTTACCACTCTTCCCCTACCCCTTTGTATTGTGTCTATTGAATTGTACACCTTTATTTTCAATTGTGAACCACCTTGAGTACATTGGCAATAAGGTATCTTTCCTTTCCACAGGGGAGCATTTGTGCAGTTATCCCAAGTACAGGCCTATGACATAGGCAAAGCTGAGAGAGAATAAGGAGAGACTTGTCGATGGTTACCCATTCATCACCAAGACTAACACTTAGTAATCTGCCCTCTACTGGCTCTTGGGTTTGACTTCCACAGAACAGAACTTACAATTCATGGGCTGTGTCTGCACCATACATTTAAAGTGTGTAACTTCCCCCAAAGAATCCTGTCAACCATGGTTTGTTGTGGGTGCTGGGAATTGTAGCCCTGTGAATGATAAACTACAATTCCCAGAATTCTTGGGGGGGAACCATGCACTTTAAGTGCATAGTGTATATGCAGCCAGTTTGCATGCATGCATAGTATGCAAATATAGTACAGCTTTGTGTATGTACAAAATATCAGTATATACTATAGGTAAAAGCATTCCAGTAATTGCCCAACCAATTGGGGATTGTGCTGCTTCAGCGCCTGATATACACATGCTGAGGAATGAGCTTGCACTATAAATCACTCTGCAAATAGGCAACCAGAAGATTCTGTCCCACGTCTTTTTGGCTGTTGTGGTTTTATTCGCAGAACAGATTTTATTCAAAAATTGTCATTTCTCACCTGCAAGCTGAGATGGGGCAGTTTGTTCTATTGTCATGCTCTGCTTCTGAGGTTGTAGAAGCCTTGGCTTCTGCAGAACTCTAACTCTATCAAAGGAGACAGAACCCAGAGTCAAATATCACTTTCTGGAAGCTCTAGCACCAGTCACAAATCAAGCACACTTGAGCACTTTCCTCCACACCGGCAAGTTCTCATTATACCACTGAAGAAGCATGCAGCCATGCACCCGCCAGTGCTAGCTAAACTTAAACTGGTAAATAATTCCCACAGAGTCCACTAGGACTCATTTCAAGTAAACATGGTTAGGATTAGCTTGCAAAGTGAACAGACAGAAACCAGTCATAAAGCTGCCTGGATATAGTTTTTAAGAACCTTAAGAGTACAGGGGAAGTTCCCCAGGGCAATAAATGTTCTGCGTATTGTTTAAAAAGGGGAAATGGGACAACCCAATCGGCATAGGATGACTGGAAGAAAGACAAGGGTTAAGCTAAATCAAATAGCCGAGAATGAGCGAAGATAGGGATTGCCTTGAGAAGTGGGTTATTGGACTGATTACAGAAGGTGCCTTCAATGTGTTTTAGGTCAGTATTTTCAAAAAGCTATTATCTTGAGGCTGAAGGTTCTAAGCAAGGTGGTGAAGTCAATTAATGCCTTCATCAAGAGTTACGATGTTAGTGTCAGTAGCAAACTATTTGTTTATGTAGTTCCATCATTGTGCATAGTGCTTTGCAAAGTACAACAGGAAGGATCCTGGTCCTAGAGGACTTAAGTTGTTGTTTAGTCGTGTCCGACTCTTCGTGACCCCATGGACCAGAGCACGCCAGGCACTCCTGTCTTCTCTTCCACTGCCTCCCGCAGTTTGGTCAAACTCATGCTGGTAGCTTCGAGAACACTGTCCAACCATCTCATCCTCTGTCATCCCCTTCTCCTTGTGCCCTCCATCTTTCCCAACATCAGGGTCTTTTCCAGGGAGTCTTCTCTTCTCATGAGGTGGCCAAAGTATTGGAGCCTCAGCTTCACATCTGTCCTTCCAGTGAGCACTCAGGGCTGATTTCTTTAAGAATGGATAGGTTTGATCTTCTTGCAGTCCATGGGACTCTCAAGAGTCTCCTCCAACACCATAATTCAAAAGCATCAATTCTTCGGCGATCAGCCTTCATGGATCACTGCCTTGCCGTGGTGAAGGGGCTTGAATAACTCAGAGAAGCTATGAGCTATGCCGTGCAGGGCCACCCAAGATGGACAGGTCATAGTGGAGAGTTTTGACCAAACGTGATCCACCTGGAGCAGGAACCAGCAAGCCACTTCAGTATCCCTGCCAAGAAAACTCCATGGACAAAGACAACAGAGGACTTATCGTCTACATAATTGAACGCGGGAAGACGGCAGAGGAAAGGGAGCTAAATTAACACTAATAAGTACGGTATACCTGGGACTTGCACCTTTTTGCTCCCTGCACTTGTAAGAAAAGTGGAGATTGCTTGCTTAATGTTCTTGGAAAAAATTTCTGATGGCTCAGAGCTGTTAAAAACAAGCTGTCCCACCGCATAAAACATAGGAAAGGAAATAGAACCCAAGGTTAAGGGGGTTATTCATTTGCTTCTGTTTTTATTTTGATTACGCATTCTCTGTTCTTATATCGTGATTTTATCCTGTGAACCGCCCTGAGACCTCCAGGTGTAGGGCGGTATATAAATTTAATAACTAAGAAAATAATCATAATAGCTGGTTTATACCTAATTGTTTATCTCCATTTGCAAAACAATACCCTCACCGTAATTGTTCCACTGTCCCAGTGGCAGCCCGACCCCCAGCATTTTAAAATCTTCCCGGGACACGGGGAGATTTTAAAATGCTGGGGGTCGGCAGCGCTTCGCTCCCGACCCCCAGCATTTTAAAACGCTGTTCCGAAGGGGGGGGGTGGGGACACCTGCCCCAGCCGCCCCACTTCGGAAAGCTGTTCCGAAGTGGGGAGGGGGGGCGGGGACATCTGCCCCAGCCGCCCCACTTCGGAAAGCTGTTCCGAAGCGGGGAGGGGGGCGGGGACATCTGCCCCAGCCGCCCCACTTCGGAAAGCTGTTCCGAAGCGGGGAGGGGGGGCGGGGACATCTGCCCCAGCCGCCCCACTTCGGAAAGCTGTTCCGAAGCGGGAAGGGGGGGCGGGGACATCTGCCCCAGCCGCCCCACTTCGGAAAGCTGTTCCGAAGCGGGGAGGGGGGGCGGGGACACCTGCCCCAGCCGCCCCACTTCGGAAAGCTGTTCCGAAGCGGGGCGGGGGGCGGGGACATCTGCCCCAGCCGCCCCACTTCGGAAAGCTGTTCCGAAGCGGGGAGGGGGGGCGGGGACACCTTCTGAAGGCGGGCAGGGGGCGAAAGTCTTTGTCCCCCCTGCCTGCCTTCCCAGGGGCTTTTAAATCGCCCCGGACAGCGGAGAAGTCCTCCGCTGTCCGGGGCGATTTTAAAATGCCGCCCGCCAGCATTTTAAGATCGCCCCGGACAGCGGAGAAGTCCTCCGCTGTCCCAGGGTTTTTTAAAATGCCGGGGGTGGGAAGAAAAGCCCTTGTCCCCCCCCCAGCCTTCAGAAGAGGTCCGGGGACAGACTGTCCCCGGACCTGGTCTGAAGGCGGTTTCCCTAGGAACGCATTAATTGATTTTCAATGCATTCCTATGGGAAACCGTGCATCGCAAGACGAAAAAACCGCAAGACGAAGAGACTTGCGGAACGAATTAATTTCGTCTTGCGAGGCACCACTGTAAAGAACCTTTTAATGAGGGTGAAAGAGGAAAGCGCAAAATATGGTCTGAAGCTCAACATCAAAAAAACCAAGATCATGGCCACTGGGCCCATCACCTCCTGGCAAATAGAAGAAATAGAGGCAGTGAGAGATTTTACTTTCTTGGGCTCCATGATCACTGCAGATGGTGACAGCAGTCACGAAATTAAAAGATGCCTGTTTCTTGGGAGAAAGGTGATGGCAAACTTAGACAGTATCTTAAAAAGCAGAGACATTACCTTGCCAACAAAGGTCCATATAGTTAAAGCTATTGTTTTCCCAGTAGTGATGTATGGAAGTGAGAGCTGGACCATAAAGAAGGCTGATTGCCGAAGAATTGATGCTTTTGAATTATGGTGCTGGAGGAGAGTCCCATGGACTGCAAGAAGATCAAACCTCTCCATTCTGAAGGAAATCAGCTCTGAGTGCTCACTGGAAGGACAGATCGTGAAGCTGAGGCTCCACCTCATGAGAAGAGAAGACTCCCTGGAAAAGCCCCTGATGTTGGGAAAGATTGAGGGCACAAGGAGAAGGGGACGACAGAGGACGAGATGGTTGGATAGTGTTGTCGAAGCTACCAGCATGAGTTTGACCAAACTGTGGGAGGCAGTGGAAGACAGGAGTGCCTGGCGTGCTCGATGAGACGGAGACGACTAAACGACTAAACAACCAGACTGCATAAAAATTGCCCTACTTCTTTCGGTGTCTTTGGGGGTCAGTTTTTTCCAGGAACTCTGTTTGGCAAATTGTATTATACCATTGATCCATCGTTAATCACTGTAACGATTTCTACCATGTCCCGGCAATAGTGGTTCTTGCAGCGGTTTAACAGACGCGCTACGAGTTCTTAGACCAGTCTTATACCCCCGCGCAAAGGAAGCTGGATGCCTCCGTCTTGTTTTTGAAAGCCGCTCAGCCTCCCTCCGCACCGCGCAGGCGCTGCCGCAGCGAGTCCCGGTCCCAGTGGGCGGAGGATAGGCGCTTGCTCGCTGCTTCCCTTGCATCCCACCCCCTCTGATGCTCTCAGCCTGGGCGCCTCCCCACGCAGCAGCCGCGGCAGGAGGAAAGCCGAGGAGAGAGGAGGGAGGGGAAAAGAAGGAAAACACTTCTGCCTCCAGGCCCGCCTTTGCCCGGGAAACTGAAGCCGGCGCTGCGCCATCATCGGCCAACGAGCAAAGCTTCCCCAAGCGAGCGACTCTCCCTTTGCAGCAGCGGGCGCCTAGACGAGCCAGGATGGCCGTTCCCTTGACCGACAGCGAGAAAAGAAAGCAGATCAGCGTGCGGGGCATCGCCGG